AGGGGATTGTACCCATATAAGGGAGCAAAGAACTGAACACTATGTTAAAAAATCTTTATATGTATTTTTAAAGCCCAAAAAACTGTGGACCAAAGTCATCCTTAATCAAATACCATAGATGAATTTAGTCTACTATTAATGAGAGGCATATCTTTTAACGTTTGCCTCCTGGACTGTCATATAAGTGTAGGAAAAATTCTTGAATTAAATAGGAAAACATAGCTGCTTATGCATGGCTCTTTAGAGGCCTATAAAACCATGTAAATATCAGGAAGTGTTCATTCTTATTCAAGATACACAATCATTGCTAAACAGCATATGAAATAATTGGTTTAGTATTTTCCATATGTAACAGAATAACTGTTATACAATAGAAGGGTTTGCCACAAGAAAATACAGGACAACTGTATGAAAAAGGCAAGTCAAAGCTTTTATTTAATTTATGTTTTTGTTTTTATTCGTAGGCCAAAATCATATCTTTGTATATGAACTTTTGTGTGATTTATTGCTTGATAGCATGTTACTTTCTGATCAAATGCTACGTGGTACCATCTTATTAGCATAAGGGTTGCAGGATGTTAGGAACCAAGCTAGAGATGGCCTTTAAAATACAGGACAGGTAGTCTCTCCATGCAATAACAATGGATAAATTTTTGAGTCTACTGTTTATAATAATATCAAGTTGGGCTCATCAAATATTTTCTGCCAAAACCGTTCTTTGATAGGAAAATTGGGTTTTTGATTAAATGAACTTTTAGGGGGAAAGTGTCTGCTTTCTCTGGCTTGTTTTTTAATCAAAAAACTGTACTCCCCAAAATGGAATTTTTCAGTTCTTGGATGAAAACTAAAGTACGTAGCCGAAACTGAAAGGCACGCAAACTACAGCTCCCATGAGGCTCTGAAGCAGCATAGGTTTTTCGACAAAATATTTTGATTTTTGAGTTTTCATCAAAAAGTCAAAATATTCCATGAAAATAAATCCTATTTTCTGACCAGCTCTAATATAAAGTACTTTGTACAGTGTCAGAAGGATTTTATTTCTTAAAGGCTGCAGAAGGCTTGCTGTTTTCAAGAAAGGGCCTGAAGAAAAGGAAGAGGGAACTAAATATTTGAATCTGTAGTTATTTTCTTAGTCTTCCTAATTCTGCTTTTTGTGGACTATGCTGACGGTTTCTTAGAAAATACTCTGCTTCTGTGAATGCAGTACTCTAGTGGGTAACCCAAAATAAGGTAGATCAGAGAGAGGGAATTTTGAAAGGTGTCTTTCTTTAAAAGGAATTTTTTTTCTGAAATTGATGCTTTGTTTGATTGAACATAGAAGAGAGCTACAGTCTGTAGGGTGGGTTGGATTGTTTTCTGAAGCAATTTGCCCATCCCTACTTTGAATATATAGTGATATAATTATATATCTTGAAGGACCTTCCATCCCTTCTTTCTTTGGACAAACTGTCTGATACCGACACCAAGAGCAGCTGATGAGTACACAAAGGGTGTCTGCATGTCTAATTCCTTCCTGACAAATTAGCCACATGTAATTTCCTTTGGGTTTAGCAGGTGGGGAGTGGATTGAATCTACCCACACCAAGATTGAAATAGCAATTTTCACTAAAGTGAGAATTTTATGGGAAAAAGGTCAGAAATTCTGCACCAAATGAGGAACTGGCAAAGCCCAGAACTCATCAAATTAGGTTTTGAGTGTGAACATACTCACATTACTGGCTAGGAGAATGAGATTTGAATTAAAATTAGTTACCTCTAGTTTGCCGAAAATCCATGCCATGCAGAATCCATGGCAATAGCATTAGAAACTTCTTTAATTCCTGATTCAAGTGCATTTCTCTCTAGAGGAAACAAACCTAGAAATTGGTACAGAGTGTACTTCAACTCCTAATCAAATTATCCATAGACAGCCAGGATTTTCATTCTGACTTTACCATGCCCAGATAGCTGTCCAGCTGGTCTTACTATAAGTGGACACAGTACGTGTTAATACATGAAAGGACCTGATCTTTTTCTGTTGACTCGTTCACTTCTCTTCGGTGTATTATACAGCAACAGGGAGGGTCAATGGTAAAGCTCCCACTGACTTCAACAGAGCCAGGATTTCATCCTGATACTTTAAGATGGGGTGTTTGAACTGGCAATACATTTTCTCTCTGTCATTTAGACACTTCACCTACGTACTGTTTTGAACTCCTATGGTCTGGCTTTTGCTACAAAATTGCTGGCAGTAGCCCCTGAAGTTCTCATAGTCGTGAAAAGCTTCTTTCACAATTAAATTAAAAAACAGAGAGAACAAAAAAAGTGCCACCGTGGCTAAACAACAAAGTAAAAGAAGCAGTGAGAGACAAAGAGGCATCCTTTAAAAAGTGGAAATTAAATCCTAGTGAGGAAAATAGAAAGGAGCATAAACTCTGGCAAATGAAGTGTAAAAATATAATTAGGAAGGCCAAAAATAATTTGAAGACCAGCTAGCCAAAGACTCAAAAAGTAATAGCAAAAAATTGTTTAAGTACATCAGAGGCAAGAAGCCTGCTAAACTAGTGGGGCCACTGGACGATTGAGATGCTAAAGGAGCACTCAAGGACGATAAGGCCATTGCAGAGACACTAAATAAATTCTTTGCATCAGTCTTCCCAGCTGAGGATGTGAGGGAAATTCCCACACCTGAGTTATTCTTTTTGGGTGACAAATCTGAGAAACTGTCACAGATTGTGTCATTAGAGGAGGTTTTGGAACAAATTGATGAACTAAACAGTAATAAGTTACCAGAACCAGATGGTATTTACCCAAGAGTTCTGAAGGAACTCAGATGTGAAATTGCAGTGTACTGTGTAACCTAATAATTTAAATCAGCTTCTGTACCCAATGACGGGAGGATAGCTAATGTGATGCCAATTGTAAAGAACAAAATTGTCAGACTCATAATTTGTTGGGGAAGAGTCAACATGGTTTTTGTAAGGGCAAATCGTGACTCACGAATCTATTAGAATTCTTTGAGGGGGTCCACAAGCATGTGGACAAGGGGAATTCAGTGGATATAGTGTACTTAGATTTACAGAAAGCCTTTGACAAGGTCCCTCACCAAAGGCTCTTAAGCAAAGTAAGCTGTCATGGGATAAGAGGGAATGTCCTCTCATGGATTGGTAACTGGTTAAAAGATCGGAAACAAAGGGTAGGAATAAATGGTCAGTTTTCAGAATGGAGAGAGGTAAATAGTGGTGTCCCCCAGGGGTCTGTGCTGGGACCAGTGCTATTCAACATATTCATAAATGATCTGGAAAAAGTGGTAAACACTGAGGTGGCAAAATTTTCAGATGATACAAAACTACTGAAGATAGTTAAGTCCCAAGCAGACTGTGAAGAGCTACAAAAGGATCTCACAAACCTCTTGGGTGACTGGGTAACAAAATGGCAGATTAAATTCAATGTTGATAAATGCAAAGTAATGCACATTGGAAAACATAATCCCAACTATACATATAAAATGATGGGATCTAAATTAGCTGCCACAACTCAAGAAAGAGATTTTGGAGTCATTGTCGCTAGTTCTCTGAAAACATCCACTCAATGTGCAGCAGCAGTTTAAAAAGCAAACAAAATATTGGGAATCATTAAGAAAGGGATAGATAATAGGACAGAAAATATCATATTGCCTCTATATAAATCCATGGTACGCCCACATCTTGAATACTATGTGTAGATGTGGTCACCCCATCTCAAAAAAGATTTATTGGAATTGGAAAAAGTTCAGAAAAGGGCAACAAAAGTGATTAGGGGTATGGAATGGCTGCCATATGAGGAGAGATTAATAAGACTGGGACTTTTCAGCTTGGAAAAGAGATGACTAAGGGAGATATGATAGAGGTCTATAAAATCATGACTGGTGTGGAGAAAATAAATAAGGAAGTGTTATTTACTTCTTTTTATAACACAAGAATCAGGGGTCACCAAATGAAATTAATAGGCAGCAGGTTTAAAAAAAATAAAAGGAAGTATTTCTTCACACAATGCACAGTCAACCTGTGGAACTCCTTGCCAGAGGATGTTGTGAAGACCAAGACTATAACAGGGTTCAAAAAAGAACTAGATAAATTCATGTAGGATAGGTCCATCAATGGCTATTAGCCAGGATGGGCAGGGTTGTTGTCCCTAGCCTCTGTTTGCCAGAAGCTGGGAATGGGCAACATGGGATGGATCACTTGATGATTACCTGTTCTGTTCATTCCCTCTGAGACACCTGGCTTTGGCCACTGTCGGAAGACAGGATACTAGCTAGATGGACCTTTGGTCTGACCCAGTATTGCCGTTCTTATTTAAAAACTAAGTTGAGTTTTTAGCTTGAATCTACCTCTCCTCCTAAAGAAAAATTCCACTTATGGACATTTCCTGGTTCTGCCATTGACATGCTGTGTGTCCTTGAGCACTTTACTGATCTGGGCCTCTGTTTCCTCTCCCACCCTTTGTCTGCCTTGTCTATTTAGATGTAAATTCTTCAGGCTCGGGTCTGTCTCTTAATATTTTTTGTACACTGCTTAGCACCTCTCAGGTGGGGCCTCTGGGCACCACTCTAATACAACAACAACAACAATAATAATAATTAATAATGCCCAACAGTTGTAATACAAATATCTCAAAGCACTGTAAAAGGTGGGTAAATGTTATTATCCCCATTTTGGGGGAACTGAGGCAGAAAGACGTGACATGACTTGCCCATGGTAATCCAGTGACCCAGAGACAGAAGTCGGAATAGTACTAAACACCAGCCCATGCTGCTTGCATACTACTTTGAGGAAAGTTCATCTCAGACATTTAATGCAGTAACTAATAATAGCTGAGATGTGGTATGTCCAGCATACCAGATATATTAGACGACACTCGGATAAAACAGAACAAAAAGGGGAGTTTATTAACATTGTACAAGTTCCCTCATTCTGCATTCTGTTTTGCTTTGTTGGCCTGTTTTCATGCAGACTCATTGAGATATTTGTGTTTTCCAGAATGCCAAAGCCAGCTATGACTTCAGCAGTAACGACCCCTACCCGTATCCCCGCTACACAGATGACTGGTTTAACAGGTAATAGAGCTCAGTCAGCTGTCACTACAGGTATTAGGAAATCCTAAGGCTCTGCTGATAGTTTCAGTGTCCGTCTCTCCACTAAACGATGTGGTTTTCAGCACAGCAGTTGCTGTGTCGCTATCCTCTGAAGATTAGATATTACTGTTTTCACATTGATTTTTTTTTTATCTAGTGTGTTCTCCTGGGAACCACTTCTATCGCTCTGATCAGCTGAGTTATGGTATATAAAGTGTTTGCTACTCCAGAAAGACGAAGGCATACCTGAAATGTTTGTGTAGGTGATAACGATATAATTTTCTGTCTGCTAACTGAAGAAGTCATGATACCCAGGTCTGAATTTATGCTTCATAGCAATTTTTTATTGTTCTCCTTCCTCCATCATCATGTCTCACCCACGGCCTTCAAGTTATTTTAAAGGGAGCAATATGGAGGCTGGGATTTTATGAGCAGGGGGGAATCTGTCAGGAAAGGAATTTGAGAACAACTTGAAAATACATGTAAAGTTCCCATAAAGACTTGATGTCACAGTTTGCCACAGTGCCCCATGGCCACAGTCCCTAACCTCAGGCTACTGCAGCATCAAAGGACAAATATCTCACTGAACACAGCAGGGGATCAATATGGTCATTTACTAATGAGCCTCAGGGGTAGGACGGGTGATGGAGCAGCCTGTATTCCCTCTTCGCCTTCTTTGGTACCACACCCAGGGGAGATATGCTCAAATCTGGCACTGGAATACATCAGAAGAGGCCTGCCACTCTCCCTGTTGTTACTTCCAAGGTGAGCTTTGCCCTTACTATATACTCAAAGCCTTTAATGGACTTCAAGTTCTCTGTCTAGCAGTGACACCTCCTGCCTTCGTAAGGAATTTGAAAACCGTCTGAAGATCCATTCCATAAGTAAGCAGCGTCTGTTTTCTTAGGGTAGTCCAGAAACAAGTTCCATAACACCTGTGTCTTACTTGGAGAAGGAGCCTTTTCCATGGTTACTGCCTCCCCTGTAGCAACTCCTGAAGCACTGGGACCTTGAGGACCCCCTTTCCTACTGTCCTGTTGGAACCGTCCTTTACCCCATGACAGGAGAGGGCACTATGCGGATCCCTGCACCTCCTACAGTGGTGTTTGTACCTGCACTGGGAATGAAAACATTTCCCATCGTTAAATGCAAAGCACACATTGGCTTTTATATCGTCATGTTGAAGCCAAGGTTTTGGCACAGGCAGCCCGCTCTCCGTGAATGTCAGCTGGGCAGGGCGATAAGGAGTCAGACATTTCAGCAAAGGTCCTGGTCTATTTTACCCCAGGGTAAATCAGGATCCTCTGCTGTCCTCTGACTAAATTCTCTTAATCACCCCCCCACACGCCACCATATGTAGCATGAGCCCCCACTATTAAGTCCTTATACTTAGGGCCCTACCAATTTCATGGCCATGAAATATGCATCATGGACAATGAAATCTGGTCTCCTCCCCACAGGAAATCGAATCTTTTGTGTGCTTTTACCCTATACTATACAGATTTTGTAGGGGAGACCAACATTTCTCAAATTGGGGGTCCTGACCCAAAAGGGAGTTGCAGGGGGGTTGCAAAGTTATTTTAGGGGGGTCGCAGTATTGCCACCCTTACTTCTGTGCTGCCTTCAGAGATGGGCGGCTGGAGAGTGGCGGCTGTTGGCTGGGTGCCCAGCTCTGAATGCAGCGCCCTGCCAGCAGCAGCGCAGAAGTAAGGGTGGCAATACCATACCATACCACCCTTCTGTGCCGCTGCTGGCGGTGGCTCTGCCTTCAGAGCTGGATTCCCAGGCAGCAGCTGCCTCTCTCCAGCTGCCCAGTTTTGAAGGCAGTGCCCCCGCCAGCAGCAGCGCAGAAGTAAGGATAGCAGTACCGTGACCCCCTCCACAACTCCTTTTTGGGTCAAGACCCCTACAATTACAACACCGGGAAATTTCAGATTTAAATAGCTGAAATCATGAAACTTATGATTTTTAAAATTCTATGACCAAGAAATTGACCAAAATGGACCGTGAATTTGGTAGGGCCCTACTCATACTTAAACAAGGAAATACACCTCTCGGGGCTCCTCACACAAATTATACTCGCATAAATGTGAAAGGCTGTGCACCAGTTCTCAAGAGTTTGAGGCACCTTAGGCCTGGAGGGTTTGTCCTTCTCATTTTCATGCTTTTTGCTCCCTTCCTCTGTCCTGAAAAGCAAGATAAATAAATCCACAAATTCCTCTTTCCAAATCTTTTTTTTAACCCCTTTAAGCAGATGATTCCCAAGTGGACAGTGGATCTCACATAAGCTCTAGGATCATCAGCTGTCATGTCTCCTGCCTTTGTTCATTCGGAATGATGCCACCTGGAAACAGGGGGGACCCTTCCTAATTGCTCCATATTCCTTTGTGGGGTACCAGTCCCCCCAAACCTTTGACAGTCCTACCCCCTCATCTGAGAGGGGCCCGCTGTCATCAGGCAGGCTGCCAACCTATGGGCCACCGATGCCAATGATTTTGCCAGGTCAGCCCACATCCCCGGGCTGGATGTCTGAGGGAGGAGGGACCTGGGTTGCCATTTTGCCCCACTGTGCTGAGGTTAGCAATTCCCTCCTTCAGTGCCTGAAGGCTGCTGACAAACTCCACCGCTGCATCCCCAGGATGCCAGAAGAGCTTTTGGCAGATTATGGGTGTGAGGCGCAGGCCCAGGGTCACTCACCCGCTCCTCATCATCTCTGTCCACCTCTGAGGCTTGGACCCTCACTATTCTCAACCTCAGACCCTGAATCCATCCCTTGCACCTCCTGTAGGAGGGGTTCTGAATCCTAACCAGGAAGGACACCCTCTTTTGACTCACCACTATCTGCAAAATGAACTATTCCCGCAGAGGTCTCAGCTCCTGCCCAGCTGCTCCGCTCGACCTGTGATTCTCCTCCTGTGCCTGTGGCAGGCACATTGGTCCTCGACTGATCTCCAGTCCTGCGAAAACTGAGTACATCCTGCCCCCTGCTCTGCCTCTTCCCCCAAGGGTCCCGCCTCTGCTCCTCCTTTTCCCTTGAGGTCCCGCCCCTGCTCTGCCTCTTTCCTCAAGGCCCCACCCCCGCTCGCTCTTCTCCCTCATCCCCTTTCCTCATTGCTTAATCCTCTCCACCTCCCTCCCCACCCCGCCCTGCCCCCCAGCTGGGCTCCCTCTGCTCTGGGGCTGGGACAGGAGCTGCAGCCCCTGACATGGAGCCTACCCACCCATGAGATGCAGGTAGGAGACAGTGAGTAACCCCTTCCCTTCTGTAACAGCCAAAAGAGGCTCCACATGGCCTCTTCTGGGAACTGGGGAATGCTAGCCAATGAGCACCCCTGTCTCCCAGCTGGCCAATGGGTGCCAAAGACTCCCAGGGGGAGGAGCTACTTATTGTGCCTTGGTGAGTGTGTCCCTCCCTTGCCGCTGGGACAGTCCCCCTTTCACCACTGGCCCCATCAATTTCCCCCACCCATTGTTGCGGATGGGTGGCATTTGGTAATTTTTAGGGGCAGATCCTTAGCTGGTGTAAGAGTCGTACAGGGTTAGCTTTTCAAAGAATGGACTATAAAGGTCCAATTTTGCTCCACTTGCAGTCAATGATAAAGTAAATGACTTCAATGCATGCAAGAAGGAACTGCAAAGTGAAATATCATTTTTACATAAAGAAAATATTTCTCTGTGAGTAGTTTAAGTGATTTGTGTAACAGGAAGTGGAGAACTTTTAAAAAAACAGGAACCAGGGGGCTTTTGTTAGCAGGCAGCTGCGTGTGCAAAATGTCATTAGGTTTTTAAAAGACTCAGGGAGAGGTGTTCATGCTCATGAGCACAGCTGCTTTGCTTGTAAACACAGATACAGTGCCTCTTCTAACTCACGCTATTTAAGACAGCCAAAAATCTCTGTCACCTTAATTCTAATAAACAGTGGTCTCTGAAGCAGTGCATAGTGAGGAATGGGAATTTGGGAGGGCCCCAACTTATGGTCGATGAGCAATGACCAGACAGCTTGGCTGGGCCCCTTTTTGGCTCCAGCATCCTGGACCCCTTTTCCTATCCCTGCTACCCATTCCCCATCACCTCTTGTGTCATGTCCCGTACCCCACACCACAGAAGTAGCAGCCTCTGCTTCTCTCTGTCACATAGTTGCAGCTGCCTGGCTATTGACTGCTGCCTCCCTGAGTGCACGGTTCCACCAATACAGGCTCTTGCAGGGAATCTGTGTTTCCTAAGTTGTGTGCCTCTTCCCTCCCTATAGGGTGGTGGCAGGAGCAGTTGCTGACTGAGTTGGAACAGCTTGGGGAGAGGGAGATGCTCCCAGGATCAGAGGCTTTCTGTCTCTTTGCCCAGCCCCTGGAGCAATCTGCAGCTGCTGTTACAGGAAAGGGTGTGTGAGTGCGGCGGGGGTATCACACAAGCTTAGATTTGGGTGTGCCTGGGTGTTGATTGGGAGGGTCGTGGCCCACCCATGTTACACCCCTGCACTAAGACCCAGAGGGATGGTGTCTGTGGTGCTGTGTGTAGGGCACTTGCAAGGGAATTAGGAGGACTTGGGTTCTGCTCCCATTTGTGTCCCTAACCTACTGCTTGATGCTGATCAAGTCACCTCTCTATTTCCCTTCCTACTCTTTCTCTGCCTATTCAGAAGGTGAGTGCTTGAAGGTCTCTTGCTATGTGTATTATACAGAGGAGCTGTGCAAATATTAGCTTTTTCAATTCGCTGGCACTTCCAAAATATTGGATGGGGGGGATTCATTTCAGGTCAAACCAAAAATGAAAACCTTCAAAAAAATTGGTGACTTGAAAAGTAAAAAAATCATTTTAGGTAGAAATAAATGATTTGTTTGACCAAACGAAACATTTCATTTTGATTTTGAGTCTTTTTCAGCACTTTCAAACAAATTAAATAGATTTGAAGGACATTTTGAAACAAAACGTTGTCGCAAAACAAAAAGTCAGAATCTTTAATTTCAAAAATGTTGCGACAAAACATTTCAACTTTTTTGGATTTTTTTTTTTACATGAACCATTCAGCAAAACTGATAAAAATTTGCAAAATGTTTTGGGTTTCCAAATCTGCATTTTTCACCAAAAAAAAAAAAGAAGGTTTTGGCCAACTGTTTTTTGCCTAGCTCTAATATAATGGGGCTCCTTCTCAGGTGGGGCCTTTAAGTGCTACTGTAATATAAATAAATAGTTATGAGACAGCTTGTTTCTACTTATACGGCCCTATAAATATTAACACTTTATATTCTCCATGTTCCCTCCCCCTCTCCAAGATATTAGTTTGTCAAACATATTCAGTACTTCTGAAGAACTTGTTGGCCAGAGTTACAATTACCCTTCACCTCTATTTATTAAAGGCCACACCTGCAGTTTTCCCTCTCATTTTTTCCATCAATATAATGAGAACAACATAATGGATAATTGGGGATTTGTATAAACAGATACAGCAGCCTTTTCTATTGCATTAACTACTCCTGAGGGCATTCTGCACCAAAAAATTTATTTTTGTGCACAATATTATAAAATTCTGCAAATTTAATTTGTCAAATAAATGTGGAGGCTCCAGCATGGCATTGGGGAACACAGGCCACTGGCTGCACAGAGGTGAGAGATCACTGTGCAGCTCCCCCTCCTGGGACACGGACTCAGCGGTGAGGCTGCACCCAACCCTGACACAGCGCAAGGACCGGGCCTGCCCTAGAAACATCACAGAGCCCTGCCCCTCTGTGCCAGGTGCACCAGGTGTGGCCAGGCAGGCTCAGCAAGGCAGGAACCAAGTGTGGAGGGGCTTAGTGTGGGGGAAATCCAGGTGTGGGTTGAGAGGGTTCTGTGTGGGTGCGGGCGGCTCAGTGGGGGATAAGAGTGCGGGGGGAATCTGGATGCACAGGGGCTTGTTGGGGGGGTTCTGGGTGCAACAGTAACGGAACCCTGCAGGGGGGTCCAGGTGAAGGTGGTTGGGGCTCAGCAGGCGGGTCTGAGTGTGGGGGGGATAGAGCTCAGCAAGGGGGCTGGGGTCTCAGTGGGGGGGTCCAGATGCTGGGGTAGTGGGGATCAGTGGGGTTGGGATCCAGGTGCAGCTGGTTGGGGCTCAGTAGGGTTGGAATCCGGGTGCGGGTGGCTCGTCGGGGTGGTCCAGGTGCAGGGGGAGGGGGCTCATTGGGAGGGTCTTGGTATGAGGGGGTCTGGATGCACGGGGGTTGGACGGATGGTAGAGCAGCTCCCTGTACAGTGATCCCTCCTCCTGCAGCTGAGCAGCGATGGGTGCAGGAAGCGTAGGTGGGGGGGGGGCGGCAGGAAGTCTGCAGAGCTTCCTACAACCAGGGGAGAAATCTGGGGGTGGGTGTGACCTGGCATTTTTAGAAAGTTTTTGAACATCGCAGCTTCCCTGTGTGACGGGAGCAGTGTCATACCCTATATCCTACAGGTGACTAGATAATGAATGCCCAGCCGCGCTGTAGCTTTTTCACAGTTCTTTTAACAAGGACAGTCAAGGAAAACCTTCTGAGTTATTGAAAGAAATTTATCCAGCAGATGTACAAGAAACATATTTCAGTCTTTTCCCTGCCCAAAGAGCCTTCAGAAAAGGGTCCTGAAACAAGCATAAGATTTTCACGATGGTGGGATATTTGGAAACCAGTCATTTTCCTACAATAGATGTGTCTCTAAAAACATAAGCTAGGAAATATTACAGGAAAAAGAATACATGGTCCCAAGATTTCTCACACCTCTGTTGTACCAGCCTTTTCAACCTGCACTTTGAGGGAGAGGGAAAGAAGATAGAGGCTGAATTTAAAAAAAGAAATAAAACAAAATAATCCAGCTGCTGCAGGTTATAGAGCATATTAGAGTATGTGACCTTTGTAATATGGTAACGCTAATGTTGCGAGCCACCAGGATACTACAGAGATAACCACAATATACATGCATAGAGGGTAATATAATTTAGGTGTAGAAAATATCCCATCTGCTAAAACATGGTGAACTGTAAAAAAATATGTATTTATTTTATTGGAGAGGAAAACCAGACACCCTCCCTTCCTCCTCACTTAGGCCTCCAAGCCTAACTTGGCACATATTTTCAGCATTTGTTAAGGATTGTAAAACACTTTGAAGATGAAAAATATGATTGAAGCACAATGGGCTGATTTTGAACCTGGGGCCTTCAGTGCCAAAGCACAGACTTGTCCTACATGAGTTTAAAGAAATCACTTTATTAGCTAACAGCAGTAGTGGACTGGTATTTTCTCTGTGGACTAGCTACTAAAGGAGGATGAGACACACACAGCACCCTGCCTAACTTGGCAATGCTTTTGCAGCTGGTGTGTCGTGACTGCTGCTTGACATGCTGACCCGCATTGTCACTTTATTTCCCTGTGCTCCCCCTTCTGTGTGTTGCATCCATCTGCTGCCTCTTTAGATTGTGAGCTCTTCAGGTCAGGGGCAGTCAGTTTGCTGGGTGTTTGTACAGCGCCTAGCACAATGGGGCCCTGATCCGTGGGGGGCCTTTAGGTGCCACCATAACACGCAAAATAAATAATAAATGTGCTAAGTACTATTACTATACGCTGTTGAAGTGCTAAGTATTAGTAGTAGTATTAGACCACTCTTTCCAATGCTATTTCTACTGTCCAACAAGATAGAGCCTGCTTGAAAAACTGGATTCTAAAAAGGGCTGAATAACTTTACAACTAAATAGAGCATAATTATGCATGCTAATATTAGAATAAACATCGCTCAGGCTTTAGAGGGTAAACTGGTTACTCCATATACAGCAGTGTGCAGTTTGCTAAGTGCAGCAATGGAGTTTTGCTTTCTTCTGGAGCATCTGGTGTTAACTGGGACAAGAGGAAAGATACCAGTCTTGATTAACCAATGGCCTGATCCAGCATGCTCCTAATGGTGTGTAATACTGTGTGTGCAAACTGGGTAATAATGTTGATCAGGAGCAGTGATTTACATGGTCTCTCTTTATTCATCTTTGCAGTCATGGAACCAGGTGTGCAGGGGAAGTGTCGGCTGCAGCAAACAACAACATCTGTGGAGTTGGCGTGGCATACAACTCAAAGGTGGCAGGTATGACACCAATACAGTGAGAAACCCCAATCCTGTTCTCCTCACTCAGATTTTCCTTGGGTAAGGCGCCCACTGTAGGTCACGGGAGCTTTGCCCAGATAAGGACGGCAGGTTTTGGTCCAGACTTTGTACTTCTGTCACAGAAGTTTTAAGTGCTAAACATTTAACAAGGGGCATCTCCCCTTCTCTTTTTGCACTCTCCTATATTGTTAATATACTTAATTATTTAACGAGGGGAATGGCATTCCTTCTGCTCATTCTCATTTCAAGTCCTGTTTCCATACTGATTTCGATATGAGCTAACTTATTTCTCCTTTTGTGTACTGTTGTAGGTCTCATCTGAAACAAATCTAAATGTGCAGCAGAAGAAATATACTTGTAGTTGTACTTAATATGATGCAGAGATGAGCTGCCTCAGATTGTTTTTTCCTATCAGTTGTGCATCTCCGAAAAAACAAAATCCACTCCATTACACTGAACTTATCTCTAGGTTTGCATGGGGCCAGATACTCAGCAGGTGTAAATCAATGTAGCGCCATTAATGTTGATGGTTGTTGACCCCAGCTGACAGTTTGGCTCCTAGAGTGCATGCACAGTGATTTCTTTTCTGACGGTTTAGCTGGCCTCCCTTTTTGTTGTTATATCTGAATGATCACCACATCCAGATCCATAAAACAATAAGCTTCCCAAATCGGGCACATGCCCAGAAGCAAAATCTCCGCGATGGAATGGCAAAGCAATTTCTACTAAACAATTAAGCTAAGACAGTTCTATCATTTTATAATTGGCTCAAAGTGGCACTCTCACAAGGAGTATCATTTTTTATCTGCCACTCAAAATGGTACAGAACTCTGTCCTGACTATGAAAACCCAAGGAAATTCATAGAAATCATCGAATTTTAGGGCTGGAAGGACCCTCAAGAGGACATGTCGTTCATCCCCCCCCAGCACTGAGGCAGGATTAAATAAACCTAGACCATTGTAGATCAAAGTTATACCTAGACCACAGGCCTTCTGCTTTGAGCTTTACTAAATAAGCCATGACTAGGCTTATAGCAGTAAAAAATAAAAGCAAACAAACAAATGAACAAAAAACCCTTCCAACAAATAAAAAGCCAGGAGTTACAGAAAGGATATAAACTCTCGTGTTTCAGGAATTAATCACTTCTGACTAGTGAGACTTAAAAAGGAACTTTCTGTGGGCAAGTTGTCTAATGTTGGATTTTTTGCAAGGATTTGTGAAGCAATGTTTATCAGTCACTCTTGGTGACAAGATACAGGACTTGGTGCTTGTCGACATGGTGGGGTAATGCACTCTATGGGGGTGTGATTTCTAAAGTGCACTAACGTATTATGCATTAATTGGTCTGTGTAGACCCTGCTGGTTCACTTTCATGTCGTGCTATTTGAAACAGGACCATATTAAAGAGCTCTAGGGAATCTTTAGTGCACACCAGCAGAGTCTACACAGAACAATTAATGCACAACACATTAGTGTGCTTTAGAAATCACACTCTGTAGAGGGTGCTACCCCCTGTGGCCCTAAATGGACCACTGGCCTGAACCCAGTCTGGCAGTTCCTGTGTTCCTATGCCAAGCAAATTATCACTACAAATCATGAGCAACAAAACTAATTGAAATGGTATTATTTGTTCAGGAAACCTACCCTCAAAAACCAAAAATCAACTAGCATGTACAAAGTGCTATTTCAACTTCTGACTCTTTACTTTCAATGAATGAACTTTAAAGGGTTTGGATGATGAGTCTGGTTTAGATCTGCACCCCAAAAAGGGGTGGGGGTGGCGAGGGTGTGGATGTGGGTGTGTGCATGTGCATGGGAAAATACACAATAGCAGCCAGACTTCTTGGATCTGTATAAATTGAGTTGAAAATCTTGTAAGAACAGGGTTTGTCATGAGATATCTGTTACTTCCTGCTTCCTTTCAGCCAGTTACTTATTGAAGTGCACAGGTCTTCATGACTGCAGGTTGTTCTAGCCTCTCTCCACTGCAGTGCTAGCCCTTCCCTTCAAAATCTGAAGGGGAGGAGTGGTGTTATTGTTTTAGTTGCTGCAGTCAGTGAGACATGAAGTTCAAATTAATATGTAGCGTTGCATTGAGAAGGGACCATTGTCACCATTGTTCAGTAATTACGCACATTGATCAGAGAAGGGCACGAAACACAGTATTTATATTCTGATATTGGACACCCAAATTTGCATGCATTCGGTTCTGGGGTTTTGGTTCAGGGCTATCTCTACTATTAATGCAACTCTGTAACTTCAAGTCAGTTATTTATAAGCTACATAGCAAAGCCCTTGGGCTGTACTAATGTCCTACAGAAGCTGTAACAAGCTACCATACTTGTCAATTTCCTAACAAAATTCCATATTGAGGTACGTTTATTTTAAGGCAAACAACATCCCATGTTTCTAAACTGAGAAAAGCTCTGGTTTATTACTGAGGTCTATAGCACCACCAAGTGGAAATCAGTAAATCCATCAAACCTCTGGAGGAAGCTGACATGTTTATGACATGTCTCTGGGTCCCATCCTCAACAGGTGTAAAGTGGCATAGGACGTCACAGCCAGCTGAGGATCTGGCCCCTAACTTTTTTCTCTTTGATCCCACTTTTTTTGCATTGAAGTCAAATCTGATGACTTGGCTAACATTTTAGCTCTGTCTGGGCACTCTCTTGTCATCGTCTGTGAAATTCAGCAGTTTCAGTTCACAGACATTCACACCAGTCTTTGTTTCTTTGAGTGTATGCGGGATCTCACGCCCTGAGTTTCAGAGAATGCCGATTTGTTGAAAACAAAATTGTTCAACTTGAAACATTTTTGAAAAAATAAGTTTTAAAATTGTCAAAATGTTCACATCAGCATTTAAAACATGAAAAATTCAAGTTTTCCAATTCAAAACAACTATTTGTTAAAAAAATTAAGTTAATTATATTTTTTTAAAATAAAAAATGGTCAAAATCAAAATGAAACATTTCACAATTATGGAAATAAAAAGTTTTGATTGACCTCAACCAATTTTTTCCAGGTTTTCAAGATTGCAACTTTACTGCCCTGTTCAGAATATTTTGAGGGACAGGAAATCTGTTTCCCACCCAGCTGTATGTTTTTGTTGTTGTTGTTCCAGTCCATTCCTAGTTTAAACCATTGAAAACTAATGAGTTCCCACCCAAAGCCATACATGGAATGAGTTTACTTTAAACCATTCCAGGTTACTCTAGTCTCAGGCAAGACTCAATGAAAGGTCTCTAACCTTCAGCCTGGCCTGTGTTTGGGTTGATAATGAATCATGATTTAGTGTTGTCCCAAAAAAGGCTTGTGTTGCTCAAATCGTCATACTCTTTGGCTTGGTTGGAGCTGGAATTCAGAGACCAATTAAATCAGCCTATACTGGAAGTTACCCAAAAAACTTTTTCAGAACAATAGCCATGTTTCCCTACTGTACATGTATACAAAGGTACAGCTGTCATTATTTCCATATAAGACATTTGTAGCTTTCCCTCTCCTTTCTGATTATAAACACTAGCCCATATTGTGGAGAAAGGCAAGAGAAAACCTGTTGGGAGATGAATGAAGTATATAACATGTGAGTGAATGGGATTGAGTGGTTAGGGTAGAGTACTGTGTAAGAGTTTTGTGCTCTAGTCCTTGAATATTCTACTTTCTGTGTGATCTTGGCCAGATTGCACAATTTTTATCTCAACTTCCCCATCTGTAAAATGTGTAATTACTTTTTCCTTACAGAGTGTATGTAGCTTAATTGTTTCTTAATGTGTTTGGAAACACTTGGATGAAAGGTGCTGTATAATTGCAAAGTTCAATAGTAGAATCAGTAATAAACCACTCGCTCCTTTCTGTGCCACCACTTCATTGCTATAGCTGTATGCTATAGCTCTGTTGTATAGACTGGAATCTGAACTTTTAATACAAAATGATTGTGGAACTAAGATAACCAGTGAGCTGTAATGCCTGAAACTGCAGGTATAAATCAGATCCTGAGCCTATATCCTGTCTTTGGCAATTCATAATTCATTTTTATTTTGATTACATCAACAGGTATCCGAATGCTGGACCAGCCTTTTATGACAGACATTATTGAGGCTTCCTCTATCAGTCACATGCCTCAAGTCATAGATATATATAGTGCCAGCTGGGGGCCAACTGATAACGGAAAGACTGTGGATGGACCTAGAGAACTAACTTTGCAAGCCATGGCAGATGGTGTGAACAAGGTAATGTTTCTGTTAAACAAGCTGGGGAAGATGACTGTATTGCTTACACACACTGGGCATTGAAAGCACTGCACGTGGGTAGGTCAAAACTCTGCAAATCGCTTAGGAACATTGCAGAACACAATCCGATTATGTCAGGCTGTCCCAGTTATTGATTTATTGCTCACAAATCTTTGCCATGGTCTGCACTGCAGGTGGTTCCTTCTGCAGTACCAATGTTTGCTTATATTTGTTCACTGGTCTCAGGACACAGTTTGTCTATACTAAAATCTCTCTCTCGCTCTAAATCAAGTGTTCTGTTCTGTCATATGGGATCACAGTCAAAATGTAAAAGACCTATCCGATCATTGTCTCTAGATGTCCTCCAACACAAGCCATATGATCTGTAAAGCTGGCACAACTCTGGCTCTTTCTGTGTGTCGCCAGTTTCATTATTGCATTTTGAAGTTGTACTGTCTTTCAGTCATTTATAGATAACCCTCATCACAGAGGTGACGCACAGTAATTGCATTGTGGCCATTGGGGTTTTAATCTATTAGAAGCTCTCCGATCCCCGGTACATAAGCTCACCTCCTCCATGCTAGAATCATTCTTTAATCCCCCTTCTCGTGATCTGCCTCTCAGATGTTGTCTCTTTCTTCCCACCCCTGGGCCAGATATAAGCAGGAAGGTGAGCATTAGCTATGAGCATGCATCAATACTGGTTAGGGAAAGAACTGACTGGAGAGGCAGAGCAAAGAGATGAGACTGCAGCTATAGAGAGGTGGGTAGGGAGCAAAAGTGAATTGGCTGTAAGATTCTTCTTCAGGGGGATCAAATGGTGAGGGGAAATCAAAGCTACTGTTTATACTGACAGAATGGTATGTACATCTCATCGTCATTATTATTATGGAACTAGAATCAGCTCGCCATCTATTTTCAGTTCTGATTTGTAAACTGTTCTCCATTTTTTTTCCTGACAAAAAAATGTTATTTTCGTTTAAATTGAAATGTTCTGAAAAATGGTAGATTTTGACTCTGGGGGGATGGAATTTGAAAGAATTTTGTCAGAAATTTTGTTTTGGAAAATTTTGAAATTTCATTTTGAATTTTATTTATTTTTATTTTTATTATTTGTGTTATTTTACATTATTTCATGGCATGTCAGTAGTAGTACATAACATGTACTGCTGACATGTCTTAATAAGGCATAATATAACAGCTGAAATATGCTATTTTATTTATTTAAAAAAAAATTAGAGACAGTTGCTACTTAGTACGGATTGAAACATCTTATCTGTTTCCAGATCAAAGTGTAGCAGCAGCTTCCCTTAATAGTTTTAAAAAGAAGTAATACATTTTATGTACTACTGCTGCTGATGTGTCATAAAAGAATATTAACATTCAAAAATAAAATTCCAAACAACATTTTGAAATTCCAATTTATTTATTTTTTGTAAATTCAGTTCCAGGAGAAATTTCAAAAAATATTTTTGTTCTGAATCAGAATGAAAATAAATTCCAAATTTTCTCATGGAATGGGAATTTGAAGCTTGAACCAGCTCTGCTTGTCTTGTCTGTGCCTTTTCATTTCTCTCTCTCTATTATTAAGAGCTGATCCAAAGCCCATTGAAGTAACTGGAAAGACTCCCAGTGACCTCAGTGGCCCTTAGTGTTTTAGCTAAGCATTTTATGCATTATTTAGCTCTATCAAGCACACTGGGCTACAGCTGTTCAGATTGGAGTTGTACTGCATTGAAATGCAGGGGATTATGCAGCATATCTACTTTCACACTTACAAATCCATCTTCTGCTTATTTCAGTCAGTTAGTTCCCATCTCTGATCAAAATTAGGGGCTGGTATTTTTAGCCATACAACCACCTAGGTGAATATCACAATCTGCACAGCAGATAATATTGCTGATAAAGCTAATAGTTATGTCTGAATAGCATAGTTCCTCGGTGGGACCTGGGAAGTGGCTGCTTTCTGTGTTTTTGTGCAGCTCAGAAGGGGGCACTGTGTTTTGGACTGGAGCGGACCTCTAGTGGTGAGGAGGAGAGGTGGTTTGGAACCATTGGACAGAGTAGTGAGTCCCACTCACGTAACCCCCTGCTCCTGGAAACCCTTCCTGACCCCTCAACCACACAATGAGGTTTCGTACACCCAATTCTACTGGGCTGGGAACCAACAGGGGGTGGAGCTTGTTATCTGGAGAGAGGTCAGGGGAGGAACCAGCATAGGGTGTATAGTACAAAGGAGGTGAACTGGTAGCAGAAAGAAGGTGGGCAGAGCATGGAAAGAATTTGATCCCGAGAGTTTTGGGTAAGTTTGTTTTCTGGGAGGAAGTGCTGTGGTAGATAAGGGGCGCAGGTGGAAGAATAGGAGGGAAATATTACAAGGAAGAGGAAGTGGGGAGGCAGAGGGAAGGATGGATGGAATGGGGAGAAAAAGATCTGGATCTGAGGAAAAGAGAGAGACGTCAGGAAGTGGTAGAAGGTTCAGAATGGGTTTAGGGTAGAAGAACAGAGGGAGTGAAATGTCTCCATCTCCTTAGCACAGTCCTCCTTACCTGTCTCCTTCTCCTTAGCACAGTCCAGTTAGTTTGAACAAACTTGCCCTCAGTGCTGTATGGAGTGACGCCTCTTCCCTGAGTTGATTTTACACAGTGTATTTATGGTAAACCTCTTTGAACTTCCCCAGTAAATCTTGGGAGATTTAGTGTGGGAGCTCTGCAATTACTCATTTTCCACCTGAATGATTTCCTTCCCCCCTCCCCTCCACTACGGTCCTCAGAACAGTACATTCAGTGTACCACGTTTTGGGACGTGGTAATTAAAATTAACTGTTGTAGGTAGTAAAGCGTTCTTGAATCCACAGTTTATGGTGATTTGCCCTTAGCAGATGAATTATAGGCACTGTCTCACTCTTATCTGTAAATTCAGCAACATGCTCAAATAACTCAAGCAAACTTGTTAGACATTTCCTTTGAATCCAATCAGTCTATAGTACAAACATCACAAGACTCTGTGGGCCTGATCCTTGGTGGCTGTAAGCTCCATTGAATCCAGCTTACACCAGCTGAGGAGCTGGTCCTATGCTGTTAATGCGTTTTAAAAACTGTGACTGTTACTGCAAATACATGTATCTAAATCAGGCTCGCCAGGCTGGCATTTTAGAAAAAAAGAAAAGAATGAAAGGCAGATTCTTTTCTATGTATGACTATTTTAGAAAGTGAATAAAGAGATAAAATGAATACTAGTTGACAAATGGTTGACACTATAGTGGGCATGCACAGTGCTATTACTGTAACAATCCTTCATTAATAGTAAGAACTGCACTCGCCTGCTACGTTCTTTCACCTTAGCAAGCTACCCCACATTTCACCAAAGGCTTTCCTGATCCTCTACCATCCCCTTGTTTTGGGATGGTAACTTTTATTTGTGGTATGCAGACTATTATTTAAATAACACACTAATACCTTCAGGGATCCAGGTCAGTATATCAGAGTCCACTGGGAAAATATTAACTGTCTTCGTGTCTGATTGTTCTCCCACTGAAGTCAATGGGAGCAGAATCAGGCCCTTAGGAGACAAGCACAGGGCTGGAACTTTTCTATTATAACATTCACGTGCAGAACGAATCTAAAAGTGACAGAAAGGCACTAATAATCCTGGCAAGGGAATGTGAGCTAGTCTCAATAGAGGTATTTTATGTTCTCAAGAGAAACAGATTCTAATTTGTAGTCTCCGTTTGTGCAGTTTTGTGGTATTTAAAGAGCTTTTAATTAACTTGCTATCCTATCACAATATGCCTTAGTTTGTTTTGTGGAATTATACTGGCATCACACCTGCTTTATGGCTGTTGAGTGTTCAAGAACAGATTTTTTTTCCCTTCTGGTTCATTATCTCAACACAGTCCAAGCATCAGAGCATTGGGCATATCAGATTCTTTTATATTTGTTTCCCTCTGAAGCAGGAGTGCAGCTCCCTTAAAAAAAAAATTGCTATGGAGGGATATGGTGCACTGCCACTTTCAAATTACGTGCCTTCCCATGTTACTGCAAATTTCAAAATCAGTGCGAAAGGAATCTCAGTGCACGTCTAGCTGATGTTCATAGAAGTTACACAGAGGAAGGAATAAACTGAGACACTATATAAAAACAATTCTGTTGCCTAACTCTATTGAATGATATTGTTGTTACACTCAACATATACTCATTGCTGCATGCTACAAAAGAAGACACAATCACTGTCCTGAAGAACTTATGGTCTGGAATCAATATTTATGTTTCTAGTAAGTGTTACATTGAAAATAATAACAGGACACATCTACCTATATGATGTATGTTATCAGCCTACCGAATTTGTAAGTAAACTAAGCTCCCCAGTCTTCCTGGAATATTTAGCTTCAAATGCTTCTAGTGTCAAGTTCAGCAGCTACTGTACTATCAAAATATTCATATCCAAGGGGTGCTGATCACACCATATGGGGGAATCTGATCTCTGTTTTTCTCAACATCCAGTGCATACAAAATGCAGCTGCTAACACCATCTTCCTTGCTTGCCATTTGGATTATGTTGCTTCTTTTTTTTTTTTTTTTTTTTTTTTTTTTTTTTTTTGAAGGCCCAGTTCAGCAATGCACTTATGCACTTTGCTGGGACGTAAGTCCAGTTGAATTCAGGCCATAGGCAGCTGTGACCATAGTGTTTTTCTCATACTGAACAGTATCATTTTGTTGTTCCCTTGTGCTCCCCTCCCCCATCTATATGATAGAATCATAGAATATCAGGGTTGGAAGGGACCTCAGGAGGTCATTTAGTCCAACCCCCTGCAGGACCAATCCCCAGACAGATTTTTACCCCAGTTCCCTAAATGGCCCCCTCAGGGATTGAACGCACAATCCTGGATTTAGCAGGCCAATGTGCAAACCACTGAGCTATCCCTCCCCCCTGCTAGCCACCTGCTATCTCTGGTTTATACTTAGATTGTGAGCTCTTTGGGAGAGGGACCATCTTATTGT